CCCGTCCGGGAGGACCCCGCGGCGCGGACCGACTTCTCCCGGGCCTCGGACGTGAACCTCGCCTGACCCCGCCGCCCCGCCCTCCGTCTCCTTCTAGGAACGCCTGCCAGCCCCGGGTGCCCGATGCCCAGGCTGGACGACCGCTTCTGGAGCTGCTCCTGCGCTGCGGGCGCCAGGCGCCGAGGCCCCCCGGGAGGGCTGGCGGCCAGAGTCGGGGAGATGATCAGCTCCTCGGTGTCCGGCCCCTCCCTGCTGGCGGCCCGCGGCGCCCCGGACGCCGGCCCCGCGCGTGGGCTTCGCGGCGCCGGCAGCGGCCGCGCCACCGCCTGGCACCGCCACCTGGTGCAGAGGAGCCTGGTGCTGTTCTCCGTCGGGGTCGTCCTGGCCCTGGTGCTCAACCTGCTGCAGGTGCAGAGGAACGTCACCCTGTTCCCCGAGGAGGTGATCGCCACCATCTTCTCCTCGGCCTGGTGGGTTCCTCCCTGCTGCGGGACAGCAGCTGGTGAGTAGACGTGAAAGACGCGTGCTTGACCAGAACCGTTCTGCAGCCTGTGAGAAACGTTTGTTTGAAAATGGAGCCATCCGGAGCGAAAGCATGCACCGCTCCCGCGTTGGTGCTCGGGGAAGGCGGGGGACGGAGAGGACAGAAGCCCCAGGCTCTAGGCTCTGGGGGCTGGAGGGGGCTGGGGGATGGAGAGGAGGTGGGAGGGCGCTGGCTGCGTCCTGCTGCCCCCCCCCCTGGCTGCCCAGGTCCTCCCCTGGCCGCCCTGGCACTGAGGGCAGCGTTGCGGAGCCGCACCTGTCATCCTGGGCCCGCCGCCCTGATTGGTCGCCTGCGGAACTGGTGAGCAGAGGCGCTGGGCCGCTATTGGCTGCCCCAGCGAACATGCTACACTGCTGGGTAACTGAAAACAAACCCGTCACGTGGGCAGAGTGGGCAGAGGTGTTGCCAGGGAGCAGCAGCCTTCCTGCTTCCTTCTGCCTAGTGAGCAGGCAGGGCCAGAGCCAGGCCCTCCCCCAGGACCCCCATCCGGCGGAGGTGTGAGTGCTCCTCGCTGGCCTCAGCCGCGCCAGGAAACACAACACAGGCTCAGCGCAAACTGGGGGCAGGCGGGCTGTTTCCTTTTAGTAGAATTTCTTGGTTATTTAGCTGGTTTGATAAAAATGCTGAATTGATCTCTGCCCAGAAGATGACATAGGGCTTGTGCAGTCACACAGCATTTGTCGGTCAGCAGACATCAGTCAGCTGCCTCCTGCAGCCGCACCCTCACCTCCGCCAGCTGTGGGAATTCAGAGCGAGGACGCCAGCCCTGTCCTGAGCATCCCTCGGTGAGACGGGCAGGACAAACTCAGGACCACAGTGCCGCTGGCTTTGGAGCTCGCGTTTTGGGCTGTTTACTTGTGACACTTTGTTCACTCCTCACAGCAGTGCCCTGCGATAGCTCCATTTTACAGATGTGGAAACTAAGTCACAGGCTCAGCAACCACATCCAGGGGGCACAGCGAGGCAGCGGCAGGGCCACTGCTCATAACTGCATGCTGTCTTCCTGGAGTCTAGGTGTGTCCTCTGCCCCGTAGGGACACACCACCTTCTCAGCAGACTCACTTAAAACAGCAGGAAGGCAGGAGGCTTAGAGGGGAGAGCTGTGTGTTCTAGCCAGGACGCGTCATCCTGAGCATTGTGGTTACTGAGCAGGGGGCAGAATGTCTTCACTTTGTCCTCAGAATTTTGTCCTGCTTTGTTTTTCTCTGAACCCTTGAAGCACACGGCTATACTGTTAAAATCTTTTTTGAGAAATAAACCTGCACACAGACTTCTATTTTTCATACACATTTTGGCCCCCTGGTTTCTTTCTTGGAATCAAAAACTTGACCTTAGAAATGAAACACTTGGTTTAGGCTTTATTTGTGATGGACGCTTCAGGAAATTCCAGGAATATCTGAAACACAGTTTCTCACACCCTACTTTTTTGTTTTTCACCATCAGCCCAGAGCATAAGGGAAACATTTCACAGTACATTTTCACCTACTTAGCTTTCAACCTTCAAAGGTAAGATTAAGTTATAGTGAAGTAAGTTATAGAATGTGGTGTTCCATTTTTCAAAACGCCAAAATTAGAACTTGATGAAATGTAATATGAAATTGAAACTGAAACTTTCATTTGAATGTTTGGCTAAAACTACTCCTTGTTTCTCTGTTCAAGAGCCCAAAATAGTTACCGCTTCCCTCGGTCACCAAGGTGGAGCTTCTGCCTGGCTTTCGAGCCTCTGTACTTGGGTGGCTTCACGTGGTGAACTTGCTTCCTGCCATCGGGTCCCATGGGCCTGTATCCCCACCAGTCACCCCACACCGTGTCCATTCTTGCCTTCCTCTTTTCCATTTGCTTCTCCTGGAGTGCCATACCTTCTCCTCCAGCCCCATCTGAACGCTCGTTTACTCTCACGCCTTAAAATCCTGTGTCTGTGAAAACTTCCTAAGTGTCTTCTAGTTACATAGTCCTCGTCATTTCACACATGAGGAGATGAGCATGAGCGCCAAGTCCCATCACAGCGAGCTGGGAGCAGGGGCCTGGCTGTCTGCGCCTGGTCGCATGCTCTCCCGCAGGCCAGATTTGGACTCGGGGACAGTTCAGCCTGGTTGTCCTGTCATAGCATTGTCACAGGGGTGATGCACAGCGGTGCTTAGGGTCTCCTAGAGTAAGTGCTGTCACCCCCTCACCATCAGATTTAGGACACCGTCTGGCCACATGGCCTCGGTAACCCAGATGTCAAAGTTAGCACAGCAGAAATGTGCCCAGCATCAGTGCTGGCCCGGTAAGGGAAGATGGGACTTGTGCTGTGACTTGTGGCCTCAGAATTCCTCATGGGAATTTACCTCCTTCATAAGGAAATCACACTGATGAAATAGAAGGCACTTCTGCCAGCCTTTAAGTGATTTTCCCTTTGGGTCTATGTGGCTACGCCCTGCTCAACTCACATCTATGTTTAGCTAAACCAAAGAAGAGTGGTTTTGTTTTAAACGTCTCAAAACCCATTTTTTTTGTTTATTTGTACTCAAGGAGAACAAAACTATGAAATTAGTCTTAATTTCAGTATCACGTTATAGCAGATAAACTTTCTAGAAGGACTGGTTTGCGTAGTGTGGTAATAACTGCCACGTGGAGATGGTATCATTTTCAGCTGGTCCATGCTGACGCTGGTATCTTTTCTTGTTTTCACAGCTGTCGTCGGCTTGCTGTACCCCTGCATCGACAGCCACCTTGGGGAGCCCCACAAATTTAAGAGGGAGTGGGCCAGCGTCATACGCTGTGTGGCCGTTTTCGTGGGCATCAACCACGCCAGTGCCGTATCCTTCAGGGACGTGCCGTCCACAGCGTTTCCCTGGGTCATGGGTCAAAAGCACTTCATTGCTTTTAATGAGCGTATGTTATCTCTTAGGTCAGTTGAACCATCTTGAAGTGTTTTATTTTAAAGCCAATTGCTCAGTTTACACTTGGCGGGAGTTTTCCCATGGTCCCTGGAACCCCTCCAGCTCATTTTGGGGAACAGTTAACATAATACCAGGAGCAAGGGGGACTGCTCGCACTCCTGTCAGGCCATGGCTTTGGCTTCCTCTGAGTTCGTTCTGTAAATTCCTGTTTACGGTTGGTTCTACCTACGTCCTTCCATCACGAAGACCGGCCCAGTGCCAAGTGGTGAGAGGGTCACAGCCTTGGCCACGTCTGGGAGGCTGGGGAAAGGCCTGTGTCTGCTTCTTTGCCCTATCCCTGGCTGTGACCACAGAAGTCCCAGGGCTGGTCCAAAGCGCTGTCCTCGGGAACAGCATTCTTAACACCAGTTCCCCCCATCCTGGCACCCCCGGCTGGAATGCACTGCACGGAATCTGCTGTGTGTGCACTCTCAAGAGCAAGGTTCACAGTTCCCAGGAAGACTGGGGATTTCTTTAGCACAACTAGATTTTATTTTCAAATCTTAGGAAAAGACATTTTTAGAGTTACCAATTCCTGTATCTGCTCTTACCTCTATTTTAATGACAAGAATGTCTTCAAAAGGGGGTGTTATAAGAGAGCTTCGCTCTGTCAAATCCGTTTTGTCACCGATGGATGAGCGGTGCTGTGATGAAAGCCAGCTGTGTGTCTCTACAAGCTGAAAGTGTGTGGTGGTGATGCCGTTGTGAAGAGTGGCTTCGTGAAGATGTGGAGTGGAGAGTGCACGTGCAGTTCCACTTACTAATGAAGACGAGAAATAAAAACAGGAACAGAGAGGGCTTACCAGCAAATAGGTTGCTTTGGGGTCGAAATGCCAGCAGAATTTTATACCTGGCTTTCAGGCAGTTTCCTCGTAAAGCTGAGTGTTTGACCCATGGACCCCAGAGAAGTTTTGGGTCATCTTGAGCCCAGGGCCCTTGTCTCCGAACCCTTCGTGCGCTCACCAGGCAGTTTTTATGGACAGAGAACAGAGGTGCGGTGTGATAGTAAACACGCAGGTATAATTTGCGGGGGTTTTGTATGTTTGATAGTATTAAACATCGTTAAACATTCCTTAACATGTGCATCGCCAGAAATTGGATTTTGCCAATAACGTTCAGCTGTCCTTGACGTTGGCAGCACTGTCCTTGGGCCTTTGGTGGACGTTTGACCGTTCGAGGAGTGGCCTCGGGCTCGGGATCACAATCGCGTTCCTTGCCACTCTGATCACACAGCTGCTGGTGTACAACGGTGTCTATCAGTAAGCACGCACTGTCTCCTGTCCGCCCGTCAGGCTGTCACTTAGCTCTTACTAAAAACACCCACTTTGCTAAGACCTTCATGTTTTATTTATACACATGCCACAGACATAGGCATGAAATTCTCAAAAATGCTGCTTGTTGTTGATTCACATGTTAAAAATGCACCATCCACAATTTGATGTAAAGGGACCCCCAACAGGAGCAGGAAAAGCGCTGAGATATTAACAGAGTGCAGTATTTCATGGCTAGCGTGCACTTATGTCCTCAGGAAACAGACTTGCCGGAGGTGTGCTCAGCCACCACGTCCATTCTCTTTCTCCAGGTACACGTCCCCAGACTTCCTGTACATCCGCTCCTGGCTGCCATGTATATTTTTCTCAGGCGGTGTAACAGTGGGGAACATAGGACGACAGCTGGCAATGGTACGTAAAACTATCCCATTCGCTCCTAACCCTATAGTTTCTTAGCTTGATAGCATTGCTTTATGTCATACATTATCATTTGTGCTGCTAAATGTCTAGTTGAGACCCAACAGCAACGATTTTTGAGAAAAGCGTATGTTTAAAAAAACAACAGGTAATGATACCCAGGTCGTTCTTTGCTGAATCATAAAGGTTTGGACGTTTGTAAAACCATAATTGGAAAGCCAGCAGCTTGGGACTCCCCGCTCCTATAGTCACTGCAGAGAAGTGAGTATTGAGACGGCTGCAGTGGATGGTTTATTGTGAGTGTCCTCCCCCCTCGCAGGGGTGCAGGGGACACTCGAGAAAGTGCGTCAGAGGCAAACAGAGCCTGAGGCTGCAGAGACGCTGTAGGTGCTGGGTCGGGGCCTGGCTAGAGGGCAGTGCCCACGCGGACGGGGGGAACCCTGCCTGATCACTGCCCCTCCTTCCTGGAAGAGAAAGAAAGAAACATGCCCTCCCATGGCACAGAGCCAGGTTCTGAGAGCCAGTAGGGCAGACAAAGCCAGGGGTCACGGCAACAGCGCTTTCTGGTTGTTAAAAGTTGGCATTTGAACACTTTACTAAGAGAAAATTAAATGTGGACACCTGTTACTTCAAGTTCACTTTGAGTCCAGGGCTGAAATAAAATGAGCTGAAAAATGGAACTAGCCTCTTAGAAGGACCATTGCTTTCAGAGAGAAACTGGAGCTTTCTCAGGAAACTTATCTTGGTCCCTCGTATGATATCTTTAAAACAGGACTTTTTTTTTTTTGGTGCCAGCTGGTCTCTCTGCCCTTTTGTTTGTCTTTCACCCCCAAAATGTCTGTAAAGGAATCTCCTGAAAGCAATAGAGCGTCTTACGAAAGCCACGCCTTGTGGGAAAGTCGCCATTCTCCAACTCGCTCTCCATTCAGTTGACTTTGGAACCTGGCAGCCCCCTCGCCCCCTAGCAAGTCCTCTGTCCACCTCAGCCTGGAATACGGAGACTTACGTCCGTGGTTCTTGCCTCCCATGAGTGAACAGAGAGCCTTTAACATTAACGCTGCCCCTGCAACAATTAGATACATGCGTGAAGCCAAAAGTGTACTCGTCATGAGACCCCAATTGGAAGTGTAGAAAATTAGATTGCTCCAGCTTATGTCCCGGCTGAAGAATAAAAAATACATTTATAAGGTTTGTTTCAGAAAACTGACTCCCTGTAGTATTGGCTGCCCCTGCCTAACTTTGGTTTTCCATGGGACCTTTTGTTTTGGGGGCTTTTCCCACCAGGCAGCTGCAGGCGGTGTTCAGCTTAACAATAACCCACAGCCTTTGGACCAACTGCAGGCGGTGTTCAAAATGGGCCTCCCGCCAGATCAGGGACCGTCTGCTGCCAAACTCCGACTGGAGAAGGTTCCGAGGCCAGAGAGCCTCAACCAGGGAGCACAGAGGCCCAGCCTCCTCACAGGCAGGGCCACTGCACCCTGTACTGTAGGGTTTGGTGTGTGCGTCCCCCGTTGTCAGCCTTAGGAAATGTTTATTCTCTACAAAGCCACACCATGCTAGAATCTTTCTATCAAAGGGAAAAAGCTACAGCAGCAGCCTTAAAAAGAGCAAGTGACACATTTTCTTTCTTGGAGGAGTTAGACTGCTTCAGCTTGTATCCTTAATTATTTTCTTTCTTCGAAGAAATGAAAAAAATGAGCAGCTTTCTTATTTAATTACATTTGCAAAAACAGGCTTTGCTCAAAATCTGAAAACTCATTTCCTTCCTTAAAACCCAGGAATGCATTCAGTGCCTTAGAAATGGGACTAGTCAGCATGGCTCTGTTTCCTCAGGCGGGGCCCACAGCGACTATCCCCGGAAGCTGTCACAGCCCCCCCAGTCCTTTGCACTCATACCATTTAGATAAGAGACAGGCCTGGCGTGGTGGTGTAGAGCCAGCTCAGACGAACGGGCGCTTGGTGTGAAGGTGGCCCCTTCAAGTATCAGGCTTCTGTGCCGGGCTGTGACTAATGACAAAGATGAAGTCTGGAGGTAAAGGGACCCGAGGTGGGCACTCCACTGGGCTCTGTGACCAGACCTGGCCAAGCCCGGGTCACTGCCAGCTCATATGCCTGCCCATCATCGTGGCGACAGTGTCACCCCCGAGCCCTCTGTATCCTTGCCCCTTATTCCGCCTCAGTCCCCTTAAAGAGCCTTCCTGTCCTTACTGCTGCTCCCCTCTGAAGAAGTGTAATTAGTCATCACCGTCACCGATAGGCTCTGCGACTTTAAGTGAAACGACGTAGAACGAAACCAATTTGCTAGGTTCCTACAGCCTGCCACCGGCATGTAACGATATTGTTCGAGGACCTGCCGTCATCACCTTGCGAGGAGAGCCGTGCCCAAAAGCTACGCTGGGCTTTGCTTATAGTTAATGGTTCGAGTAGCTTTTCCTGTGGTATTCGTTGTCGGCCTGCATGTTTAGAGGGAAATCATGAGTGTAGCATCATTTTATAGAATTCGTGTCTGTTGCTGCCTGTAGTATAGTCTTTTCTCAGAAAAGTTAAGGCTTCCAGCTGCCACAGCCGTGAGTGGGCTCTGCCTCCCATGGCCCCAGGACCACGGTCACAGCACATCCCTGGCAGTGAGAATGGCGTTTGTTTTTCCCATCTGTGAGTGACCCAGTTAAGCCACTAACAAGCGTAGTGACAACACTGTTACTGTTTTTGAGGGGCGTGCATGGGTATTGTGCTAAACGTTTTCTGGTAGCTGACTTAGTCCTCCGCAGATGGAGGCAGGAGCCGTTCTCAGCCCGTTTTGAAGACGAGGGGATGGAGGCTTATGGAGGCGAGCAGCTTGCCCAGGTGGTGGCAGAGCGAGTTGGACTCGTGCTTCTCCTGCCCTTCATGTACAGTTCATGGCTGTCATTCATCCTCAAAATAGGTTTCTATGAATTTGTGCAGGCGTCCTGGGTTTACTGCACGAGACCTGTTGCCACTTAAAATAACTGCCCTCAGGCAACCCGGACCAAGGTCCCTGTGCCCAGCGCTCTGTCCACCTCAGGCTGATGGCTGTCTGCTGTCTGGTCATTTGTGCTCTGAGGCTGGTGCCACCCCTAATTTGTTCCCCACAGACTACGTTCTAGTCCCTCTGTGTGTCAGCACTCTGGAGAGCCAGGCTTGTCTCCAGGTTGCGGTTCGCTCGGTTTCCTCTGGTCGGAGTTACCTAGGACCTTCTTCCTCTTGTTCGTACTTAACAGTTGGTCACGCTTTCAATGACCAGTTCTTAAGTCTGTGTCCCCAGCATAGCAGTTAGCCACCCAAACTGGTGACTACACGCCTCCCCAGGCTTCTTACACATCCAGTCCCAGGAGGCCTGTGACTTTGTAGGTCAGCGCTCTTAAGGTTGAGGTCATGCACCTTGCAGTACGATTGCCTAGTGGGGGCCAGGGGGAGCCCCTCTGCTGTCCTTGGGAAGCTTGGTGACCTTGGGAACATCATTTGATCTTCACATCTGCTCCTTCGTCAATGAAACACCTGCCCTATATTGAGAATTTTCCTGGCAGGGCCTGGAAAACGGTCACAACTGCGGGGTCTGCCACAGGTGTGTGAGGCTCCACAAGCAGGTGTATGTAGAGGCTTTGTAAGCTGCAGGGCTCTTTCGGCTGTGGCCCCGTGGCTAGCAGGGCTTGTCTTCCACTGCTGTTGGCCACACTTCCTGTCTCCATCATCTCACCCCAGTCAAAGGAGCTTTTCATCTTTCGCCTTTCAGGGTCTGCTTAATTGCTAATTAAAATCTATATCTCTAGTGCTCATTTTCTCTCTTTTTCCTCTTTTTACTTGTAGGGTGTCCCTGAAAAGCCGCACAGTGACTGAGTCATCTACCCATGGATTCTGAAGAACAGCAAGATGTGGGAGAAAACCCATGCTTCAGATTGTGACAAAGATGATCTTTTTTCCTCAATAATCTATTTAGATTGGGCTGACTGTACAAGTGACTCCTGGGGGGAAGAAAAAATCACCTATTTTAGAATAGCAAAGTGGGAAGAGTGACTACGTGCCTGAAGTGTCACCTCGGCTGTCCTCGTACCTGCACGTGCCCTGCAGAACCGGGGCCCCTCGGCCGTGCCCGAGCATCCGGTGTCATCCATGTTCTAGAAAGCAAGTTGCCACACGTCAAAACCTTGAGCTAAAGCCCGGCTCGCAGCCCTGTGTGGGCGTCAACAGGGAAGACAGCTCGATGGTACTTAACCAAGGTGGAGTGTGGTGGCATAGGAATATTTATCCAAAAGGTTTTTGGTGGTTTTTTTTTAAAATAGGGTTGTGCAGAAAAAGAAACAAGCCACGGCGAACATAGCGGGTCTCAGTGCCCACGTGGCCACGCGCGCGTGCCTGCCTTGCCGTGAACTCGGTGCAGACAATCCGAGAGCAAAAGGCCATGAAAGGTCAGTTCTACACTGTGAAACACGGAGGTCTCCACCTCGGTGTTTATTAGGAAGTCTTATCCAAAACCCGCAGTCGTCTCAGAGCGAGCACCTGTGAGCCGTGGAGTTCGGGGTGTGCGCCCCACAAGGTTTCTTTGCTACTCCAGAGTGTAGGGACTCTGTTTTTCCCCACAGCCCTATGGAATCTGCAATCTGTGATTGCCTTGTAGGAAAAGGAGTGCGGGGGTCACTGCATTACCCATTTGGTGTTTCTGAAAAATGCAGAGATGTTGGCGAGTGCGATGTCTTCGTGGAAGGGTGTAGACCATATCAGACCCGGCTGGCAAGTATCGGGTCGTTAACTTCAAGTGCAATGTCTATGAAAACCAATCTGAGCCTTGTATTCTCTTAAATATTTATTTTTTTTTAAACGTACGAGATGTTAAAAAGAGGGTTTCTCCATTCATTTCAGTGCTGCATGGAGGCAAAATTCAGCAATAATTTCTTTTCAGTTGTGAAGTTACTTTGTTGGCGTGCCCTCCACTGAGCCCTAGTCCTTTGAAATACTCCAGTTTTGTGGGTTTTAGTAAACGTGTAATTTTTACTTACAATTTTTTTTTTTTGTATTTTGAAATTTAAGTGTTTCTGGTTTGTTTTCAATTCTGTGGGAGCAGCTTGATTAAAAGAGCCGTTTGGATGGGAGTCAGCAGGCCCGACAGTGGACGTGCGCACTTGGTTCTGTCTCGGAATGATCCTTGTGGCAGGGGTTCTGTTGTTTTGAGGAAAATGTCATAGTAAATTTTAAGTTACTATAGCTAATTTGTTTTAGAGGAATTTTGTTCTAAAGAAAATGGGATCATTCTGAACTTTGCAATGACCCCTTACACATTTTCTGAAAACGAGAACGAATGATTCGCTGCAAAGATTCTTTTCAATGAAGATGTCAGCATTATGAAAAACCGGAATTTATTAGCTGAAAGCAGTCATTGAATCTTTAAAATATACTTGATCTTGCACAAACAATAAGTATTCTTTTCTCTTCAACTGGAAGCAAACCTGTATCTGTTAGAAATAATGTAGCCAAAAACTGTGAATCTGAAGACTTTTCGCCAATTCTTTACAGCAAGTGTATGAACCAAAGTGACTTGAGTTTGTAAAGGTGTAAAATAGCGTGCACGGAATTTGCGCTGCACCAGATGGGAACATCCAGTGAGACCCTCAATTCACTAAGTCGCCAGCGTCGTGTTCTTTTTGCATTCATTTTTTTTAATTTCTATTAAAGGTTCAAAACCAACCATTGTGTTTATGGGTTTTTCTTTAACAGGGGGAATGGAAAAAATATTTTAAAGCTCTTAAAACTTGAGTGAATTTCCACACAACCTCTTGGGAAAATCCCATCTTAGTATATTTTTTCTTCGCGGTGAGAAGTGTTATGCAGTAGTCGTCACTTTTAGCCTTTCCTGCGGTCCCTTCTCGGGAATGCTGCGTTCTATCTTGGAGCGAGAGGACGGACCCCTTCTCTCTGGTCCAGATAAGTGTCTGGGGGCTTCTGGGCTCCCGGCAAACAGCCTGGGGAAGGGTGGACCATCTGAGCCCAAGAGCACCTGTGCCTGCCGCTGGGGGCTGCTGGATAGAAAGCCGCCGTGGTGACTGGAAAGGCATCCTATCCACCATACAGCACGTTGCCCTGTGTATCTGGCCACTGCCCAGGTCTGTGAAGGTGGCCCTGTGAGCGGCCGTGCCGGATGCCAGGCTCAAAGCCGTGGACAGGAGTCAGAACCGGCCTCAGAGCCTCCGTTCCAGGGGTCACTGTGCCAAGCTGGAAAAAGTGTGTGAAGGAAGGAACCAAGAAAGGGATGAAGGGGGTGTGATGGTATTTAATTCTTTTTAAAGTAACTTGTGCATGGTTTGGCACCTGGAGTAGCCCAAGAAGCTTCGCAGCAGGACTGGGAGCTTTGTCACTCTGACGTATGGGGGTTTTGTCATGAGACCTGACCTGCTGACCTCTGCAGAGGGAACCAGGGCTCTGCTGGAAGCTTCTGACCTCCGCTGGGGTAGTGGTGATGACAGGGAAGCTTAGGGGAGAGGAAGATGCTGGGGACACAGGAGGCCGCAACCTGCCCCCTCCTGCAGGTGCCAAGGCAGAGGGAGGAACCTGGCCCCGGTGGAGCTGGGGACACTCCGCCTGGGGTGCAAATTTCCCAGAAAGCCGCCCCATAGCCCCTCAGAACTCCCAGGATGCCGAGAGCTCCCCCAGCACTCATGCTGCGTTTAACACAGCTTTTGTAAAATGTAGTTTAAGTTGTAAAATAGCACCTAAATGACGGTAGAGAAAGGCCTTAGCCGATTACACTCCACCCAATACATTTCACAGCATAGCCCAAGCCCATAGGTTCCTCCCACACTGAACATAAAACGTCATGTAAATACTTCCCTCGTCACATGCACTCGAAGACTTTTGCCTAAAATTAACCTAATTTATGTGGATCCAATGTTAATGCCCACCCTGAACTAGTCTAAACCCGTGTTTTGGAATGAGGTCGGGGAGTGGAACGTTTCTTGGAATTTTTTTCTGGTCCATGAGCAAGTAATTGAATTGCCTCACTTCTTTCAAAGGCAGGGTGCGCAATTCACAAAGGGCCCTGGTTCCTTCTTTTCACACGAGGAGCCCCAGTAACTAGGAGCTTGGGATGGACACAGGGCATGGTGTTCGTTCAGCTAGTTTCAGAGCCACCTGCGCTCTTACCTGAGGAATGCTGCTGAAAGATTTGTCGAAAGACGCGTGAATCAGATGTAATCAAGTCACTTGGTGCCCCGTGTCCCACCCTTGAATTGCAGACATTCCCTAGATCTTGGTGGTAGAGAGGCGAGGGCAAGCCAACCAATTACAATCTGTTCCTGTGTGATGTGCAGTCTGCTGCACACAAGAGACCAGACAGGTGTCAGGGTCACACAGCAGAGGACAGGTCCCAGGGGTGCTTCCTGGAGGCCGCCTCCAAGTGCGCGGGCGCGTCTCGGCGCAGGCCGGGCTTCCAGTGTGCTGCCTCCCACCCCGCAGGCGAGGTCCCATCCTGGATGCGGGTGCTGCCACACTCAGTGTCTGTCTGTGCAGGTGAGCTGTGGAGCCCTTGGGTCATATCCCAGGCACGGGCGGGTTGACTGGGAAAACTCCCTTCTGCCCCACAGCCCTGGCGCCGGCTTCTACTGGCCAGGCCTGCCTGGGCCATGGGATCAGCCCCGGGCCATACTGGCCGCCAACTCAGCGGGTGTCACTAGAGCCTTGGGGCAGCCCTTCATGCCCGCTCGCCCTTGTCATGTGCACACTTCTGCCCTGAGAGTGCCTTTTCAGGGCACAGTGCTGCGTGCTCTGACATGCAGCACATCTGCTACTGCCCTTCAAGTCGAGTCCCGTTTGCCACCTGACTGCTCGCAGGCCCGTTGGCATTCCTTCACACCCAGGGGCCTGCTGACCCGTGCCAGCTTCACCCTTTCCCCTAATTTCACATCAATCACATGCGTTGTTGCAAAAACCCAAGTAGAACAGGCAAGTAAGAGCAGCTCAAGCCTGAGAAAGACTCCAGGGGAGGAGAGTGGCCTGACAGGGTCCCTGGCGTCAGCATGGGCTGCCAGGAACCAGCTCCACATTCCTGCCAGCCCTCCACACCACTGACCTGTTGGGCCATCCCTGGGCTCACCTCCTGCTCTGTCACCCGTCACCACTCAATGTCTTCCTCAAACACCAGCCAGCTGCAGAAGCCCCTGGAGAAAGGTCAACATGCCAACAAGTCACTTGAAAGATGGTTTCCAAGTTCCACCAGGTCAAAGCAGGGAGAGCCTGCCCTGAATCCCACCTTCCCGGGTTAGAGACAAGCCCTGAGTCCTTCTAGAAATTGGGGCACCCGGAAAAGCTCTGCCTGAATGTTTCTCGTCAAGGAAATGGTTGCGTTTCCTGAGATCCGGGATACAGGTACTTACAGTTGTACAACTGGTCGTTTAAAAACATTAAGAAAAATGTTACCAAACGCTCCATGTGTCCAGAAATGACTCTGTGCTCAGGAAGCAAACCCGACTCTTGTCCTGATGCAGCCGTCAGAGCCCCGCAGGAAGAACATGGATAGGTCTTGGGGTCCACTGTTCTTGTTATCTTAGTAACCCCAATCCTGCTCCATACTGGGTATTCAAGAGGAAGGGAGGGAGGCAAACAGCTAAACCAATTTTTAACTTGAAATAGCCTATCGTTTGCAATCTGACACCTGAACTTGGTACTTGGTTGTCAGCGAAAAGCATCAGATAATTACTACCTGAGGACATTGGTTCTCCACAAAGGAAGAAGGGAGTAGGGAAAAGCTTCCTTTTTCTGAATGGTATTGCCTCGTGTTTTTTACTCCAGAGGCTCCTTGCTCGTGGAGGCGTTTCTCCAGGGCTCACTGTTCTGTACCCTCGGTGTCACTAAGTTGTGTCCTCCCTGCCCCCTGCCACAGAGGAAGGCACGTGGAAGTCCTCACCCCAGCACCTCGACATGGAACCTAATTTGGAAACCGGGTCTTTGCAGGTGTAACCAAGTTAAGGTGAGGACTGAGGGTGGGCCTGGTTGCCTAGGACTGGTGGCCTTGTCCAAGGGGACCTGTGCATGCAGACAATCAAAGTGAAGATGGACATACCAGGAACGCCCGAGGTCACAGAGGCAGAAGAGGGGCCTGGGACACCCCCTCCCCAGCTGTCAGCGGGAGCATGGTCCTGACTTCAGACTCCCAAGCCTCCAGAACCGGGAGATGACAAATCTACCATTTGTCGTTCTCTACAACAATTTTACTGACCAGGAGCCTGAGAGAGGGTCTGTCAGAGGTCCTACTTTACTTGCTCGCTCGTTTGAACTTCCGGAGTTTCTAAAACGGCGCCCAAATCCCTTTCTTTTCCTGAACAAATGTATTGAGCCCAGACTGTTTATCATTGAAACTGACAGGAAGTATCTGCTATAGGATTCATGGTTGTAGATTTCTGTTGTTTGGACATTCTCATGGGTAGAGCCATTTGTTTTCCCAGGCAAGCCGAGAAGGGAGGTGTTAGTCCGGATGGAGAAAGCGTGGGGAAAGTTGCCTGCACATCAGATGGGGAGACAAAGCCAAACGCTGAAAGGGCTCCCGAGTCAACAAGGAAAAGTTTGCCGTCTTTGTGTAAACATAATCGGCTCAGGTTCAAATCCGCACTAACCAGGTAGACAGCCAACACCTGGTGTCAAATTCTCCTGCTGAGATTAGTTAATCTCCCCTCTGCAGCCTGCCCTGGGGGCAGGGACTCCAGAAAACAAACAAGGCAGTGACAGCCCCAGGCAGAGGTGACCTCCGTTCTGGGGACCTCAGGCCAGGCTCACTCAGGTGTGGCAGCCAACCCGCTCGCTGTCCCACGGCCCTCTTCCCAGGAGCCCAAAGACACTCCCATGGAAACATGGGGACACGAAGCGGCTACGGTCCAGTGCCCACGTGGGAAACGCCCAAACCTGCAGAGAGCTTTTATAAGAGTTCATTGGAGCCAAGCTGACAACATTGCTGGGGCGCAAGATCTCACGCTCTGGGGAGGAACAGTTTCCCTTAAGCATTTGAAATTAAGGAGGGGACAAGGAAGATGGCGGAAGGTGGGAAAAAGCAAAGCCAGATTGGATTACAGGAGAGTTAACAGGATTATGTGCTCTCCTGAGGGTGGTTACTCCTATTTCACAGGTGTGGCTACTTGGATGCACAGAAACAATGGACGGGGCCTGCTTAAGGCAAAGACAAGCCTTTCACTCAAGAAGTAATAGGCCTGGGGCGTGACTACCCACCTACCTGCCCAATTAGGAATTTATGGTCAGATCCCCCATTCCACCCCACCCCCTGGCAATCTCTCTCCATCACTTCCACCCCTCCGCCCTCCACGCCCCCATCTATGAAAGAACAGCCTTGGGCCCGGCCAACACCCTCTGCAGACACGTGTTCCCCGTTTCCACAAAGTGCTTTGTGATTTTTGACCGAACGGTGCTGGCGCCCCCTGGTGGCCACAGCCATACCTGCATCCTCCCCTCAGACCAATTCCCTCAACAGAAATAAATCAGGGTCTACGGATATTTTTTAAAAGGCCAATCTCCGTGGGAGTTTGGATGCTGAAAAATGTTGTATGTGATCTAGTCTCTTTCGGAAGCAGCGCAGAAACAGGACGGAGCTTTTGCAATGTGTTCCCCGGGCTTATGGGGACTGGGACCTGGGGCTTGCTGAAAAAGGCGTGATTGAGAATGGGGTGACACAGAAGGGGCCAAAACGC